ACACTTATATCATTATGCCCTTCTTGCGTTATAAATGAGGTGAAACTATATATAAGTTACATTTCTAATGTCTTCTTATCTCTAACACTTATATCATTATGCCCTTCTTGCGTTATAAATGAGGTGAAACTATATATAAGTTACATTTCTAATGTCTTCTTATCTCTAACACTTATATCATTATGCCCTTCTTGCGTTATAAATGAGGTGAAACTCTCACTAAAACACACATGCCCAACTCTTCACCCAGAGAAGCTGATATCCAAGTTATATATATATATATAGTAACGAGAGAAAAATACAAACTTTTTGCAAAGAGAAGGAGGCGAGATGATGAAGATAGACTAGACGTTTCATAAGAAAGAAGAAGCAATCCACACTAGAGAGCCCGCCAACTATTCACTTGGACATTACAGAGAAAAAACAACAATATAAAAAGATTGCAAACTTCAGCAGCAGCTGCAGTGACATTCAGCCATGCTAACCACAACCAGAGAGAAAGGCAACAGCAGACAGTAGACCGTACAAAGGGCCAGCTGGCGAGAACCTCACGGACATTGCTTCAATGGGGGTGCGCTTCAAAAGGGGTGTGGTCATGCATGGCGAGCATTCTTTGTCCATCACACCCAGCGTACGCCTAGCCTACCCCCCCTACCCCCCCCCCCCTGCCAAACCCCCTAAAAGCCCGTTTGTTGGGGGAGTTCAGCCCTTGGTTACATCCAAGAAGCAGCTTGGCGTGGCCTACTTCCCCGCTGTCGCACTTTGTTGACATCCAGGTCAGGGTCAAAGAGTTCGCGATCTCGGGGAGTGGATGAAGGAAGTGTCGAAGGCAGAGGCCTTGTTGACATCGTAAATGTGAATAATTATTAATATAATTTGGAGGGGGAATTCTGGCTGCTGCATAGCATGCGTGATTCCTGTAAGTTCTTTCTGGGTGCTCTGCCTGCTGTAAAAGCAGGATTCCTGTGGGTGATCACATGGCTTGCTTACTTTTGGTTTTAGTTTCTACGTTCATTTTGTTGTTGTTGTTGAAAGAACCGGGATCACAATTACACTTACAAAGCAGTAGCCTATTTTCCCACCACTCATGTCGTCGTGCCTTATCGCTTCAACAAATCATAGGAAATATCTATCTATCTATCTATCTATCTATCTATCTATCTATCTATCTATCTATCTATCTATCTATCTATCTATCTATCTATCTACCTATCTTTCTATCCATCCTTCTATATATATATCTATCTATCTATCTATCTATCTATCTATCTATCTATCTATCTATCTATCTATCAATCGATCAATCGATCGCCGTTAATAAATTGCGACCCCCCCCCCCCCACGCCATCTCTCTTTCTTTCTGTCTGTCTGTCTGTCTGTCTGTCTGTCTGTCTGTCTGTCTGTCTGTCTGTCTGTCTGTCTGTCTGTCTGTCTCTCTCTCTCTCTCTCTCTCTCTCTCTCTCTCTCTCTCTCTCTCTCTTCTCTCTTCTCTCTCTCTTGCCTTGTTCCACATTTACCTCATTTCATTACACACTTTATTAAGCCTTCTGTTTAATCCCAGAGTTCAGTCTTATCGGTGGTTATCGTCTAACTTTCACCTTTGTTCAGTGCTGAACAGTACCAAACAAAGTAATCGGAGACGAGACGTCGTTCAAGAAGAAAGAAGTCCAATCTTACCATGAACTCGGCCTGACGGAACTGTGTCACTCACCAAGTTTCCCATTGAGGCATGCCTGTCTCCTATCGATATACTCGATAAAAATGAAAAGTGTGCGCGCGGCGTGTGACGGGAATGTCTGTACTTTAAGGGACACACGAGTGATCTAATCTAAAGCTCAGAGATAACTAAAACAGTACAATGTATTATATGAATCCCGTGATCCTTGGTAAAAATACCGCTCCCAAAAAAGCAACCCCCCCCCCCCCCAACCCTCTCCTTTCTCAGCAAGACAAAACAACCCCCCCCCCTTTCCACAACACCAAGAGAAATAAATTTCAATTTCTAAACCAACCTTTAAATGATCTTACCATTCACCATTTGGTCTCGATATTATGATGGTGCTTGTAACATTTTTGGTAGTACATGTATTACTGCTCATGAAAATACATAGCCTGTCCCAAATCAAGACACTTAACTCGTGGCATACAGAAGGCTATTATCCTCCTTTGTGCGCAATCCATTTTTCAACATCACAAATTTCCCTATTATTTCCTCCCTTATAATTTAACCGATTTGCATGAAATAACACCAAGCTGAGTAGAAATGCATGATCCAAGCAATAAAAATATAATTCGATTATAGATAGATCGATCGACTGGAGTTTGGAAGATTTTTGTTATGATTGAGTGATGCCAGCTGAACTGGTGCGATTAGATCTATAAAAGTTAGTGACAATTGACCTAAAGATAGGGTCAAACTCGTGCTCTGATACAGAACATACGTAATTCTTAACTTGAATATCGTTATGATATTTTCACTAATTTTCAACGTCCATGAAAACTCGAGGTCACCCACGTAACACAATGTTTTCTTCTGAGTTCCATCTCTCTAACTGACTTTCCCTGTTGAACTGTCTCTTGGCCATTAAGTTATTAATGATCATTGCAAAATTCGTTGTTTCAAAAAGGAAACAGGGAGTCACCTTTGTTAAGGTACTTTTTGATAATAAAAGCCTCTAAAGAATGTTACAAACTTTCTGGTGGGTTTTTTTGCGGACCTTTATCAGAACAAAATACAAAGATGAGAGAAATTTATAGGAAGGTGAAGATGTTGAACTAAGTGTAAAAATCTCGACTTGCAGCAGGTATAATACATCTGTTTTGTTCACACGTGCCGGTCGAGATCTTCGTCCTCATAAAGAATCGCAACAAACCAATCTGTCACCAGTCACCCAGTGTTGGCGCCCTACTAAGCTAGCTGCCCAATCGAACGCAGGGACCACGCGCGCACGCAGACTTTCCTTCTTTCATAACCGCGGGAAACAGAAACCCCCTCTCACTGGCGCTTCGCCTCAACTCCACTCCACTCCAGGTCGGTGGTCGTACAGGGTTGTTGAACACTGAACACTGGTGGTGTCTCTCGGCGGACGAACTGTGTTGTGTAGCGGCTGACCGAGATACGGTCGCTCGTGTGTGTGTTGTGTTGTGTGTGTCGACAGCTGATGTCAGATGTTTACAGTGTACCAACTTCAGTGGTTGTGCACGCCTGTACGGACAGATACAGTTTGATGAATGTGAAAGTGCTTAATCATGTAAGTATATTGTCCTTATTGTGCTTGCACAAGTTGTTTATACAATCGGTAGATTCTAGATCTTGTTGTGGAGTCAAAGTCAAAGAGAGGACGGGCTTTGTTTACTTCGTGTGCACTCTCTTTCACTTCTGACTTCATGAGTGACACTTTGATGTCTTCTGTTTTTTGTTGTGAGTTACCCTGAGAATTATGTTGTTGTGAGTTCTACATCTTCTTCTACTTACCCTCCCCCCACCCCACCGCCATTTATCACTTGGTTGGTTGGCGGTTGGCGGGCACTCGGATGACCCTGATAGTGATGTGGTTTTATTCTTCTCTTTCCTGTCACTATCAAGCAATAATCTCTCCCTCCTTTCATGAGTTGGATAACACTCTACAGTTTTAAGTATTAGTGTCTACCTCCTCTAGGCCATCTAATCTTCGGAAAGTTCCAAGTTCTGTAAATCACTTACTCTACCTTAAAACGAACTAAAACTGATCCAGATCCCTTTTTAAAACTATTGTAGTCCAACCTTGTCTTACTGGAGAAAGAAGCCTCAAATCTGCTCCTCTCAGGGATTCATGGACATGATCTGCTAAGAACGCCCTTTATAATCAAACTAGCCACCCTCTTGATTTGGATGTTTGCAAGAAAATCAGTTTAGAATAGCAGTAGTGAGAATAATAAGCTCACACAGTGCGATGGGGGTGTTCTATCTTTAGAAATGAGGAAACGCTGGAATCGATAGCAGTGGTGAGTAGCCTAGATGCTGGCCAGCATAGTGCTTCTGCTCTCACTCTCAGCTGTTTGCTGCACGCGTATTTCATGATCGTGCTTGTTTCCTGTTCTGTTCTTGTTCTGCATGATCTCTGTGTGGAGCGTGGCTCTCCTACAGGTAAATTTTATCAGAATTACATCATGTGTATTTCTTGTCCTACATTTGGATCGAGGGAGGGGGTGGGGGTAGCCTTCTATCTCAAATAGATCCATAAAAATATAAACAGTTACAGAACAGACCGTGCTTTTTCTGTCAGTAGTGCTAGTCTTGAGGAGACACTCGAAGAAGCAAACAATACAAGCTCTACGTCAATGACAGACACAGCTAAATAGATCTCCTAGATGTGCTTCTTGCAGTGGGCCCTAGTTCTTTTATTGTTATGTTTTAAGGTCATACAACCCAAGGACCTTACCTAGAATATTTATTCTATTTATGACCTCCTTGATACAACCCCCGTTCCGTAGGCTGTAGGTGACTTGCAAATCAACTGCTTTGCGCGTTACTAATTTTAACACTAATAAACAGTTGTACACACTGTGAACATTTCATGCGTGTGTGTATATATAATATATCTCGTGTCAATTTTTAAAAAACCAGGAAAAAAACCCCAACAAAACAAAACAAGCAGCTCGTCGCCCGTGTGCGAAGTTCGATCAAAGATTCTCTACAAGATCTCTACACGATCTTTGTTTGGATGAATAATGTTCTAAATTTGTCCAACTTGTACTATTTCTTGCACCATAGAGATGCACACCGGGAGGAAATGTGTATGCGTGTGTGTGTGTGTGTGTGTGGGGTGGG